GTGCAAACAGGAAGAGGTGAGAGGGGTCAGACAGCAAAGCCTTCCCTGCAGGGGCAGAAGAATGACGTGGCCTAAGGCAGGAGGAAGGGAAGAAGGACAGCAGACTCACGAAGGCCCTCGTCAGAGCTGGGCAGAGCGGGCAGGCTCTGGAGCCAGGGCCTCCATGTGAATGTGCGACAGGGCAGGTAACTCAGCCAGGCTGTGCCCTGCTCTGTGTGAGCACCCGCAGCAGGAGGCGTGCTTGATGGTGAATGCGCACACTTACACACTCGCACAAACACAAAAACAGAGGCTTGGAGTGTCCCGCCAAGAAAGAGCCCCTCCAAGGTGAGGTTCTCCTGAGAGGTTGGCAGGAGTTACGGAGACACTTGGAGAGAATAAAACCTGTTTTCCACGAACAAGGGCCCCACATTTACCCTTCACCTTTTTTTGGCGGGGGGGCACAGTATTAGGAATTGAACCCAGGGTCCCTACATGGAGCTACATCCCCTGCCTGCCTGCCTGCCTTCCTACCTGCCTGTCTGTCTATCTATCTATCTATCTATCTATCTATCTATCTATCTATCTATCTATCCATCCATTCATCCATCCATCCAGTCATCCATCCATCCATCCATCTATTTATATTTTGAGAAAGGGTCTTGCTAAGTCACTAAATTCCCCAGGTTGGGCTTTAACTTGTGACCCTCCTATCTCAGCCTCTCAGACTGCTGGGATTACAGGCATACAACACCACACCCACCTCGGCTCTTCTTCAAGCCTCTGCAAGGTGAGCTCCATTCCATAAGAGCAACGGAGGATTGAGGTAGCCCAGGAGAGGTGGGGACAGGTGCAGTAACTGTGTCACCATGGGCTGCTGTCCCTTAGTAATCGCCCCTGTCTCACTTAGCACACTGGGTCCCCTTGACTGCACCTCATCTAACAGGTAGGAAACCAACGGCAGGATGGATAAAGGTCCCTGTTGACTAGACGGAGAACCACCTGGAAAGTTAAAGCACACTTCTGGGTGTGCAGCCAGAGATGATCAGCACATGAAAACCAAGGGCAAGGCCCATCCTGAATGCGGGTGACACCATCTCAGAGGCTGGGGTCCTAGGTGCAAAGAAAGGGGAGGGGGAGGACGGCCGCCAGCACGGGCTCTTGCCCTCTCTGCTCCCAGGCTCCCTGGGGGTGAGCACCACGCCCCATGATGTCTGCCTCATTCCAGCCTAAAACAATGGAGCTGGCTGACCATGAACTGCAACCTGTGAGACTGTGGTCAACATAAACCGTACTGCACAAGAGCTTAGGGCAGAGCACACTCACTGCGGAAGTGCCCTGTGGGTCACAGAGCTCCAGGACACATGCACAGAGCACTTCCCGAAGCCCTGCACTTGGACCCACTCTGAGTGCTATCTTCCACTGCTCTTGGCCACTGTTCTTCTCCCACAGGGGTTCTCTCTCATCAAGTACTTCTTTTCCTGCTTTTAACTGGCCCCCCTCACTCTGTAGAGCATATTTCTTCTCCTACCTTTAATAAACACAAAATCCCACTGCCTTTTGCACTTGCTTGGTCCAATTCTCTGTTCAGGACAGAAGGAAACGAGAAATACCTCTAGAAAGACACTCTAGCACCCCAGAGCCCAGTAACATTAGCTCCTTTAAGTTGTCGTTCTCAAGTATTTTGTCAAAGCTAACAGAAGGGCCAAAACTCCCTTCCCCACAGACGAAAATGGTATGGGTCACCTTCCGGGTCGGGGGTCTCTTTGGACAGGACCAGTGTGGCAGAGTCTTGGCCCCGAGGCCCTCTCCCAGCCCCATTCCTACCTGCCTTGATGGTACCCACCCTAGCCCTCCCAGGCTGGGGCAGGCTCTCTGAAAGACATGCCCAAGAGAGTATGGGGCAGAGCTGCACTCGCTGGGCCAGTGAGCCCAGGGCTTTTCCCACCAGCCTCCTCGGCATCAGTCTTCTGTCCACGGGCCGCTGCACAGGGTCAGGCAGAGCCCTAAACCTGTGTTCTCCGCTGGTAGTTCATCAAGCTTCTCCTGAGCAGGTCTGGAGGAGGAAGGGGTCCAGGGCCTGTGGGCGCCTGGCTGGGCCTCTTAGCGCCCTCGATAAAAGGAAATGTATTCCCTAATTGGCCCCCTGTGAGGTGTCACTCAGAGAGCAAGCAGGAATTCTTCAGCCAGGGATCATCTCTCTGATCCCCAGGCCAGCTCCTTCCTGTCCCCTTCCCCCGATCCATCTTTCCTTAGCATGGCTTACATCTTCCCTAGGGCTGGGATGGACACAACCCAAACATTCTTCACCCCAGAATCCAGGGTCCCAACCAAGGATGAATGACAAAAAAGATCCCCCAAAAGGCACAGCAGAGCCCTCACCCCTAGCCTCAGAGCGTGGTTCATACTGCCGCCAGGCAGCCCCGCAGCACCCATGGGCCCAGCACTGTATGCAGTGCCCACGCAGCCCCGTGGATGGCGCTCACTCCTTCCTTCCCAAGTCAGCTCCCCCACCAGCCACTTCCCACCGTGAGCAGGGGTGAGAGACTTAGCTCTTAGATGGCCCTATGTGGCAAGGACAAGCCTGGAACCAGAGACACCCTGCCAAGATTTGATTGTGGTTTGTCCCTGCCCAAACTTATGCCGAGGCTTGGTCCCCAGTGTAAGAGCACTGAAAGACAGTGGGACCTCTAAGAGGTATTTTGGTCATGAGGGCTCTGTTTTCACAGAGGATTGATGTATTTCCCAAAAGAGTGGACCAGTGACCCTGAGATCGGGTTGTTACACCCATCCTCTCCTTTACCCTCTTCTTTCTGTTGCATGAGCCCACTTCCTGCCAGGAGCTGACACAGCCCAGGGCCCTCACTGGAAGCTGAGTGGGCACTGGTACCTTGTTCTGTAACTTCCAGAACTGTGAGCCCAAATAAACTGCTTTTCTTTATAAGTCACCCAGTCTCAGGTATTTTCTTATAGAAACAGAAAGCAGACTGATATAGACCACCCCACCAACCAAAAGAAAAAGGGCACTGGAGAATGAGAGAAAGTGGTATGAGGCAGCAGGTGGGGACATGACTAGGACATTAAAGCTGGGGACACAACAGGGCCAAGCTGCATCAGCTCCTAGTGGGGGGCACTTCACGTCTCCCCTGCAACCTACTTCTCCTCAAATCTGACCCTGCAGCAGACATGGGCAAGGCACCTGGGTGGCGGGGATGGGGGCTGCCATGAGGCGGGTATGCCCGCCCCTCACCTTTCTGTGCCTTGGGCCAGGAAGGGTCCTGGGGCTGATCTTGACTGGGAAGGTAAAGTCTAGGGCAAGCCCACATCCCATCTGGGACCCAAGCAAACTGAAGCCTGCTGCACTGGCACCTGCTTCACTCTGACAACCAGAGCAAGTCAGGCGCATGGGATGGGGGACATTGGGGACCCCAGAAGCTGGTGCATGCTTTCCCCCAAGTGTGATGCCCCGTTCACTCCCAGCATTGCTGCAGCAGGGCAAGAGCTCTGGGAAGCCCCTGGGCTCCTCAGCCAACAGAGGAAGGGGGTCAGGTGGGAAGGGTAGAGAGTCTCTGCCTACCAGGGGAGCAGAGGCCAAGACAGCAGTGAGCGGGGCAAGGTGCCCTCTGGAATATCAGAGGTGACGGAGGCAGAACTCACTGGAGGAATAAAGGTCCAAGGAGAACAAAGTCAGACTGAGTCAAAGAGAAACAGGTAGAAAACAGGGTCCATTTGGGGATGTGAAGTCCAATTTTTTCACCTGAGGAACAGAAGTTGTAGGCCAGCTCCTTTCAAAAAGACCATCCAATTCCCATTTCCCTGAGCCTCCTCACACGGTAGCTACCTGAAGTTTCCTTTAAGACTAAACCCCAAATAAGCAAGCCCTTCCCGTAGCAGCCCCTCCCCCCCTCCCTCCCAGACGCCCCTGCAATAGCACAAGCCCTCAGCCCCGCCCCCTCCAGTCCTCAGCAGACCCTGGAGACCGGGCTGGGAGGACACCCTGTGGCTTCCTTCAAAACCACCTGGTCCCTCCTTGTGGCTTGGAGACAGCAGTTTCCTTTATCTTTAGACAGCCACATGTTTGTTGTCAAAGTCCAGGTTTATTTCCCCGTGGGAGTCGGAAGTTTCTGCGCTGCCCTGGGGTGCCTGCCTTTGAAAGGGGCTTCTGGGAATTTACTGTGGATCCCAGAGGGACCCTGAATGTGGATGCCCATGGCCTGGCAACTCCTGACACATGAAACAGGCCAGTCGCTCTTGCTTCATCCTGTGGGGGGCCGGGCATCCTGTGAGGAGGGGCTGGAGAACTGGGGTCTTGTCCTGGCTTCTATGTGTATGGGGGGGGGCGTGCGTGTGCACCCACACTCACACACACATATGCACTGAAACAAGAACGTTTTGGATGTTCTCAAAATTCCTTTGGACCATGTCGCTCATTTCTTAATGCCTCCTGACCATAGTCCACACTACAGAGAAAATCTTTAAGTCTAGTTGGAGCAGCTGGCCCAGCTGAGATCCCCATGAGGCCTGGGTCCCTGAGTCAGGGGCAGGATGGAGCCATTTTCAATGCAGATCCCCCAGCCAGCTGCAGCCCGGAACATTCTAAACACCCTAACAGCTTCTAGTCCCTTTCTGATGCCCAGACGACCTTGCTTTGAGCAACACAGACTCAGGTTGAATGCCTGCTATATGAATGTGACATGGTGGACCAGCGAGGGCAAGTGAGTGGTCTGCAGCCACACAGCAGAGTGAAGGTCAGAGCCCAGCCTGGGAATTGCAGCCTCAGAGGTCCTCCCTGGCCTGAGTGCCCCTCTGTAAGCAGAGGGGGTGAACCCAGGCCCTTGTGGCCCCTTCTGCAGTCTGTTCCTGAGGGCCACGGTAAAAGAAATGCGTAATTCCAGCAGGTGGGACCCTCTGATCGAAGGGATTCTGTGACTAACACACTTCAGACCAACTGCACCCCATCCCTGGCTCCTTGCAGGTCACTCCTCCGACCCTGTCCCAGAAAGAAGGGCCCTCTCACTCACCATAGTCCTTCTTGCAGTACTTTTTCATGTTAATCTTCAGCTTCCCTTTGGAGGCCTTGCAGTAGGAATCACAGTCTGCAAGAGGGGGAGAACACAGACAAAAACTAATTAGGCTGGCCATGAATAGGCTGGCGGGCCGAGCGGGAGGCCGCCTCCCTAAATACCCAGAGGCCTGTGATACCCATGGGCCAGGCCAAGCAGGCGGCCATTCAGGGCAGGCCTGGCCTTCTAAAGAGGCCCCTGGGACAAAGGGCCCCTGCCCGACCCCCCTCCTCTGGCCTGACGAATCCTTTCGCCGCCTTGGCCTCTGTGAGAGACTCTGGGGGCTCCTGAATTGTGCCACCCAGGGTTTCTGAGCACCACATAAATTCCCCCTGTTCTTAAGACACAACTGGAGCCTGATTAAAGCCGATAGAGGCCTCATTGTCACCCTGCGCTCCGGGTCTGTGTCAGGCGCTGGCTTTCATGGTGCAGAGCCTCTGGCTGGGGTCAGGCCCCAACAAAAGAGGTCACAGAGGAAATTAGCAGTCCATGAAGCATTAGAAAGCCCCTTTGGTGTCCACTCCACTGGAGTGTGCAAATAAAATGCCCCACGAAGAAGAGTTCAGTTCTAATGGGCCCTACTGCTGAGAGGCAGGGCCACGGGCCTGCATCCGCCGGGCATCACTTCGGGGCTTCCAGACCCTGAGCAAGAGCCGGGCAAGATGTGCAGAGCACTAGGCCTGCCAGGCAGCAGACAGCAGGCCCTGGCAGCCGGCTCACCGGCCTCCCGAAGGCAGAGCTGGCGACTAGACCCCGGTCCAACCTTGCCCTCTTCCTGCCAGTGATTTTCTGCTCTTTGGATACACATGCAGTTCCTTCACTAGACCCCTATGTGACATGATGACCCTGCCCATCACAAGTCCCAGTAAATCTCTCCCCACCACTGGACATGGCAGAAATCACTCGATTCCTACAACCACTCTTAGATGTGTGAGAGTTCTTCCTGTTCTTCAGATGAGAAAACCAAGCCTCAGAGGAAGTTAGCCACCTGCGAAGGTCAGGAAGTCGGGGAGAAAAATCAAGGGCAGGAAGGCAGGCCTCTCTGCGTCACCTACCCCGGTCTGTGGTGAAGATCTCCAGGGGATATTGAAAAGCGATCTCCCTAGAGGCAATCTCTGGTCCCACATGAAGCAGCTGCCTCCGTAGAAGACCCAGGATGCACTGACATGGGCCTTAATTAGTCTTCATAGCTGCATCCCATGCCTAGGAGCCCCGGGCCTGGCCAGCCCAACTGCTCCCGGGCTAGCCTACTGAGGCCCAAAGTCAGGAAACAGTCCCAGGAAATGGGAGAAAAACAGCCACCTTGTTCCTCTATGGTCCAAGCCCTTGGAGCTCTGCCAGAATGCCCTGGCCCAGTGACACCAGAGGCCACAACATCGGTCTCTTCTGCCAGTCGGACAGCTGGTCAGTTACGGGAGCAGGGAGCTTTAGAAGCACAGAGACTGGGCTGTCCAGAGAGTGTGGCCTTCACTCCACTGTGGCCACGCCCAGGAGGTTAAGAGCGGAGAGCTGACAGCCCAAACATACGAGCATTACCACAACCGCCACAGGTGCACTTCCTGGCAGGAACAGCTGTGCTGAGCCACGTCTGCCAGCTCAGGGACAGACAGATGATGCTAGAGCAAAGCCACTGTGGGGCTGAACCCGATGGTGCCAAGTGTCACCAATGCGGGGACAACCTCGAATCCGCTGGGTGGCTCTGTGTTACTTTGGGGGAAATTCTGACCCAAGTCAGTACATTCATTTTGAGTCAGGAGACCACTGGGCACCCCCGGCACGAGCCCCGTGAGATGTGCTCCTGTGACCAGGCAGGTAAGAGGGCGCCTCTGAGCGTGCCAGCTCCCCTCAGGCGTGATGGCTCTGCAGGAGGGGTGTAGTACTCAGCTTCCAGATGGGAAACCAGTGCTCAGAAAGGTTCCAGGGCGGCCTGCCCAAGGGAAGCCGGGCCCACGGGCAGAAGGGAGGTAGATAAGTCTGGGGACAACCTAGTCTAGCATCACTGGCCCAGGTGTAGGAAAAGCCATAGCTCTTCTCTTCAGAGCCAAGGGCCCACCTGGAAGAGAAATCACCCTAGAAATGCATGGCATCCATCATCGCCTAATGAGACCTCACTTCCAGGCCCTGCTTGCCAATTCACAGTTGCCACTGCGCACCTCAGACGCTGCTCGTTGATGGCGTGACACACGGCAGTGGCGAGGCCTCAGCACTGTTCTGATGCTTTATGAGGTCCACTCACCCCACCCAGCTGGGCCTCCTTTCACAAGTGAGAATTTTCAGCCTGGAGACATTGGTGGCCCACTCACCAGGGGCTGTATGTGTAATATGCAGGCTACAGAGCCTAAGATCCCAACCTCTGGCTCCTGATCCTCATTCTGGGTTCTGCCCCCAAGAGGTTGTGATTTCTTTGGTTTAGGAAGTACCTGAGGGTCTGGATTTTTAACACTCCTCAGGTGATTCCACTATGCATCTAGTGTTAAAACCAGCCCCCAGCTTAGCAGAGGAAAGGCAAAGAAAGGTCAACGCAGTGTGCATCTCTGAGCACTCATATTTGCCTGTGCGTATATGTGTGTATGGGGCAGGGTGCTATCTTTCCTTTCTGGTGGCTGGCAATTCTTATCAGGTCAGTACACTTGTTGCAGAATGTCCCCTCCTACTTTCAGAGTAACTGATTCTAACTTAGCTGGGAGCTAGGAGAACAGACAGAACAAGCCTGTTAAAACTGTGTAAGTACAGGTAAACAGACTGGGAAGGCTTGCGGTAAAGTTCTCCTGTGGGGAACGTGAATAAATCTTTACAACACAGATACCGTGAAAGCTATCTGGCTGCTTGTGGGCTTTATTTGGGTAGTAGTCCAGATAACAGAGGTCACTGGACAAGCAGTCCTTGAGTAAGAATGTCCCCATATTGCTTCTTTTATCAAGGACGCACAAAACTACAGAGACTGCTTCAAGATGGACAAATCACAGCTTTAAAATGCAACTTTGATTCCTTCCTCAATATGGCATCTACTTGGCAGCCATTCGTGGGGCCTCTCCTTGTTTTGTTCCAAAATAGCTATAAAGACAATGAAAAATGAAAATTCACATGAATGCCAAGAACGAAGCTGATAGATGACCCAATGCTGGAATCTGGGAGCAATCTCTATTAATTAAAGGCAGATGGTGGTAGAAGAGGCAAAACCTATCTGGATTTTACCTCAAGACAGAGCTCTTTGTCTGATGATCAGAAAGGTCTTGAAATAAAGGAGAAAGACAGAAAGACAGCAACCAGAAAACAAATGAGCAGGAAGTGGGTGGGGGCACTAGGAGCGACCCCTCTGCCAGGGAAGGGGAGATTAAGGAAAGACAGTACTTGCATTGGATCTCTGAGCTTACAATTTTTATCTAAATTACCAGTGCTGTGAGCTGGGTGGTGAGAATAAGAGAAGGGCTAAGTAAGAGGCTGGGGGGAACTGGGAGCTGGAGCTGTGCACACTGCACCTTGGCTCTAAGATGAGAACCTCCCCCTTGTGTCAGCGCAGGCATTTACAAAGCTTTCTCTGCAAAGGGCCCAGTGGTAAATATATGAGGGTCACATATTCTCTTTCACAGCTAGTCAATTCTGTCACTGGTGGTTAAAAACAACCATCAATAATACGTAACCAAATGGGCAGAGCAGATTGAGAAATGAAAAAGATACAGCTTCTATGAAATAGGAGAAGAAGAGACCGAGCTGAAAAAGCCATATAATAAATAAGAGAAAGATGAGGTGGAAAAATAAAAACAAAGCAAACATATAAATTCTAGTAGTGTAATTTAAATCCACTAAGAGATGTGATACTGTGAAAACTGATTCACGGATTTGGAAACAGAGAACACATTGCAGAAACTCACAAAAACTTGGAGGAAAAGTATAAAGATATGGAAACTACAGAAAGATATAGTTATAAGACAGAGTAGAGAGCTGACATATGATTGGAAGAGAACTGAAGCAGAGCCAGATAGGAGATAAGATGCAAAGACAGGCTTCTTCAACCAAAGACAGAACTAATACGCAGAAGGAAAGGGGTCCCTCAATTTTTTTTGAAAATCAAGAAAAACCAACAAAAGCAACAACTACCTTTTCTAAATATATGAAATACCAGGATATGTCTGTATGATCTTAAGATAGAAAACTTATAGCTTAAGAATTTTATACCTAGCTAGACTGTCATATACACAGGCCACAATGGATAAAAGATATTCTCAAGGGAACAAGGGCTCACAAAAGTTTCCAATTCATGTATCTTTTTTGCAATACGTAGTTGAGAATGTTTTGCAACCAACTATGAAACAAATAAAAAGAGCTTGGGGAAAAGTCACGGTAGAAACACACTGGTGATGAACACCAAAACCAATAAACACAGGAGTTTCACACTTTGTTCTAAAGCAGAATACAAACATCAAAATAATTTTTAAATATTTGCAAGGAAACATCACACTATGTCTATAAAACCATAAAAATTAAATTTGACACTTTTGGGTCTTAGTAACAAAAATAAGTAGAATGAGATAGGGAATAAAATACTTGTCTTAAATAGAACATAAAAGATGCCCTTTCATACTTGACTCTGACAAACAACATTAAAAACTACTTTTTAAAAAGCTTACAACTTCTGCAGTGGCAAAGGCATATAAGCAAATGAAAATAAAGACAAGAGCCAGGAGAGGAAATACTAACATCAGAAAAAGTAAATTCAAGGCCAACATGTTTAAAGTTGACAAAGAAGATCACTTGGTAATAAAATTATTTTAAATGGGTGTGGAATAACATTTCATTGAAATATATTAAGGAAAAACTGATAGAAATACAAAGAGAAACAGACAGACACACATACATTGTGAAAGAATGCTAAATTAAATCCAAGAAGCTGAAATTGTACAGGCCACATTTTCTGACCACAATGTAATAAATATTGTTATTAAAGAGGAAAGAATGAACATAAGCAAAACATATTCAGTTTTAGAAGCTAGAAGACGAACAAAACCCAAAGCAAGCAGGAAGAAACAACAGAA